GGCAGAATTAGTCTGCCATACTGCATTCTAACCACTGGGAAGGAAAGAGGGAAGGCTGAGTCAACCTTGAGCCATTCAGAATCGAACTCCTGGCAGTAGGCAGAATTAGTCTGCAATACTGCATTCTAACCACTGGGAAGGAGAGAAGGAAGGCTGAGTCAACCTTGAGCCATTCAGAATTGAACTCCTGGCAGTGGGCAGAGTTAGTCTGTAATACTGCACTCTAACCATTGCGCCACCGTGGCTCAAATGAAGGAGGCAAAAAAACCTTCCAGAACTGCATAATGATGTAAAAACAAGGCCACAGACCCGAGCAGACCACTTACTGAGATGTCTTGTGAGGCTCTGCAGGATGCTGGCTGTTAATGTGCGCGGTGGTGCTGTCTGCAGACTTGAAGGCCATGGGGCAGAACGAACACTTGTGGAAGACTTCGCAGTGCTTCTCGTGAATATGGACTTTCAGCATAGCCTGGGACATGAAAACCACCCCGCAGTGGCTGCACCTGGGGAGAAGGAGAGGACACACTCAGCTTGAAGGCACAACATCTGCCACCATCATTTCTAGAGATGTGTCAAGAAATGGGAACCAGCCCGGGTTTGCTTTGCTGAAATCACCCGCGAAGAACCCGTGAATGTTTACGGGTTGTAGGAAAGCAACCTAAATAGCTTGCTGCCGATCATGGCTAGAGAGCAGAGGTCGAGATATGGCCAGTTGGAGTAACAGGGAATGAAAAAAAAAATGAGGTCCACCCCACCATATCAATTCTCCGAAGCCGACAGCATCCAGACTGAAAATATTAATCTGAATTAAGCCTTGCTCCTTCCTTCTCTGCTGGCGATTCCTGCGCCAGAAGAGAAGAACCGAAATTTCCCAGAAACGAGTAACTGCGAGACATTATTCACTCACTGCAACTTCGGGTTCCTGAGAAAGTCAGCTGATGGAAAAAATATAAATATATATATATACCCCTTTTCACAGGTGTTGAAGGCTGGCGAAATCACCTGTTGATATACTACTCTGAAGTTTCTTCTACTTGTGGTCAGCTAAAAATAATAATTAAAGATGGTCGGTATCTACTACTAAAAAATAAGATCCGTAAGCGAGACTCCTGCGATCTGCCCCAAAAGCTCAGTCGTTTGGAGATGTTATTTTATTTTATTTAAACGCCAAATTTCTTGCATCTTGGCTCTAGAATGCGTTATGTGCAAAGGTTCCTTAAAAGTCCCAGGTGTTCTAACCTAGGCTTCCTGAGAAAGCATAAATCACAGTCCCAAAAACCCTCTTTTATGTATACGGCTGTGAATGATGGTCGTTCACAGCCCGCAAGGCTTCACCAACAGTCTGTGTGAAGATTCCGACAGATGTCTGCTCGAGTTGCCATGGTCTTTTTAGGAGAATGTTGATAAACACCCACATTTGTATCCCTTAAAATGCTGCCAGAGATCTAACTGCCAAATGCAGAGCAAGGCCAAACTTAGCACCGAGTCAAACAGAAGTTTTCAAAGCTTGAACCGAACAAGATGAACTAATTGCTTCCTGCAAAGGCTCACGTCCAGTTCGCTCCTCTTTTGTGTCTTATGGGAGGGGCCAATCATCTCCAAGCCTCACTCCCGAGTTGACCCTGTTTTGCCTTCTGGCAGCTCTTGCGCATGCGCACACTGGGAACAGGCTCCCATTGTTCCTCTGCCTTGCTGATGTCAGACTAGAGAGGCTCCGGAGGGAGCACATAACTACCAGATGGCCCTAGCCCCCTCTCTCCCTCTCGTCCGAGCCTTCCCCAGACTCCAGGAATGGCCCATGTTCCTCCCCAACCTCCTCACTGTCTAAATCTGCGGCCAGCTCCACAGGCCGCCGGCGGACCACAACATCAGGGGGGGAGGAAGAGCTGAGGTCTTTCTCCCTGGTTTTCTCTGTTCAAATGCATAGAACAGCATCTTGCTTTTACCCCCCCACCCGGGGTTCTTCCTCCTCGGACTTTAGCACTGACCTGTAACCGACTTTGCGGGAGTAATGCAGGCAGTTCTCTTTGACGTGGGTTTGGAAGTAGGCTGACCGGCAAATGGCCCCGCACTCAGGGCAGCAATAGGGAGATTTATGGGTGTGGATTCTTTGATGAGCACAATAACTGCATTTGTTCGGCAACAGCATCTGACACACTTGGCATGTCTAGGAGAGAGGAAATAGAGAGGCACCTTGATTGACGGATCTGCACACCCAACTGGGGGATTCTGGGAGTTGGAAGTCCACCTAGCTTAAAGTGAGCAAGATTGGGAAACGGTCCTAGAGGGAGACTCCAGGTCTTATTCAGCTACTAGTAGCTGGATACCCATGCTTCGCTACGGAACTATGTGATCGAGTAGTTAAAAGCTTGAACATTAATGAGTAGTTACGACCCGGCCTTTCCTCTCCCCTTCTCTCCCTCAGGCTTGCCCCACAGAAGCCTCTCCTCTCCTCTCCCCCTTCTCTCCCTCAGGCTGGCCCCACTGATCCTCTCCTATCCCCTTCTCTCCCTCGGCGTGCCCAAGAGGCCTCTCCTATTTAATCCCTTTCTCTCCCACAGGCTTGCCCCACAGAAGCCTCTCCTCTCCTCTCCCCCTTCTCTCCCTCAGGCTGGCCCCATTGATCCTCTCCTATCCTTCTCTCCCTCAGGCTTGCCCCACAGAAGCCTCTCCTCTCCTATTCCCCTTCTCTCCCTCAGGCTGGCCCCACTGATCCTCTCCTATCCCCTTCTCTCCCTCGGCGTGCCCAAGAGGCCTCTCCTATTTAATCCCTTTCTCTCCCACAGGCTTGCCCCACAGAAGCCTCTCCTATCTTATCCCCTTCTCTCCCTTTCAGGTGGGGAGTGGGAATAGAATGTCTTACTCCTTAGCATCA